TCATAAAAAATAGGTCTATTTATTCTGATCACCCGATGATAAGCCTACAAATAATCTTGAACAAAATATCTCAACTAAGTTTAAAGTATCAAACGAAACCATCGCAGTGGCGGATTTACAGGGGGCGTAAGGGCGTACGCCCCCTCTATTTTTTTGTAAATAATTGTTTTGTAAAGCTTATCAGAAAATTACCATGCTAAATATTAAAAATCAATCAAATATCAACTCAAATTAATGAAGGTGCTAGAAGGTTTAAGGGAGAATCTTCCCTTGCACCCCTACTAGGGGCTCTTTCCTGAGACTCTCACTTAGTTCGGACATTCACGCCCCTTCTTTCTTACCGGGCTGGATCCGCCCCTGCATCGGACTAGAAACTCTTGGAAATACATGTAAATGCATCAAAAGAATATATGGCTGTTCACAGGCTTGTTGGTACAGAAAAAATAACAGAAAACAAATTAGGCACTAATCCGGCTTGCAGTAAAACAAATATCTAAACAAACAAAAACATGCAAAGATTTCAATTGCTTTTGAAATTATGTTTTCATAGACAACATGTTACTTAGACAGCAATGGATGAATAGTCAAACAAAATTTTAAAAATAACTTCGACGACGATATTAACTTTGCTTGTGGAGAAAGGTAGTCTATATCTAAATGATTACTCTAGTTGTCATCAAATCATGGAGGTACAAAATCCTATTTTAATACCGCCATGTTGAAATATTTTCATTTTACATTGGGTACTGTAATTCAAGGATGTAGGTAAAAATGGCCCCGGCAAAAATGGCCCCGGAAAAAATGGCCCCGGAAAAAATGGCCCCGGAAAAAATGGCCCCGGAAAAAATGGCCCCGGAAAAAATGGCCCCGGAAAAAATGGCCCCGGAAAAAATGGCCCCGGTAAAAATGGTCTAAGTAAAAATGGCCCCAATGAAAAAATTCATTTTTAAATCTTCAAATATTTAAGTACTGTAATAAGCAAGAATTGAATCAATAAATAAAAAATGGCCCTCAATTATAAAATTTAAAAAAAAAAAAAAGGTGAAAACCGTAAATTTAATATAAATAAGTTTTATTTTTTCCTTTGAAAATAAGATCAATTTATTCGATTTAAAAAAAAATCTCTAAAAGTATTTGTTTTTTAACAAATACAGTTACACAACAGATGCAAATAATGTACTGAGAGATTATCAGAAAACAATGGCCATTGAATAACATTTTTGATAGTAGAAATAAAAAACGTTATTCCACTGAATAGAGGAATGACATACATACAGTACTTCGACTACCAAAATATGCAACTCATAGATAACCACAAAATTCAATTTTGTTAAGTATCAAATGAAATAACTTTACATCTATAAACAATGCAAATAAACAGTAGTTAAAGCATGTGGATCAATTGTGAGATCGAATCACAAGTTCATGTATGGGAAAAGGGAGAGGCTTACTTTCTCACAAACTTAGCAATAAATGTTCTGGTTAGAGTTACTTCAAAGAAGTATTTGTTATCAAATATTGTTTTTAAAGTAAACTGAATAATTAGGAATACATTTATTTAAGCAACTTATTTAATTGCATACTTGGTTTTTACTCCCCCGTCAACTAAATTTAAGTGCCTAAAACTATACTAAATAATGTAAACTGAGATACTATATATACCTAGTTATGTAAATATGGCAATTATGCTAAGAATTTAAATAGCGTGTAATTGTGAGGGTAGGGTAATTATGGTAGGATTAAATGGTATTGCTAAATCCCACAAACCTCCCAAAACACACTGTAGACAACCGAACAATTCAATTGTGATTGACTCACTTGGTATATCAGTAAGAAAATTAAATATTCATAAGAACCTATTTTTTGGTTAAAATGTTAAAATACACCTCAAACCTCGAAACACACTGCAAACCCCATCCAAACCCTGTAATTATGATTGTAGAACTCTCTTTTTCTTAATAAAAAAAATAATAATTTGATGTTCATATCAACCCATTGTTTGTGTGGGGTTTACCAATACCCGGATTGAATTTCTGGAAAATTGTGATTCCACTTCCGTAAAATTGGCCACAAATAAATTATTTTAGTATTAATAATTGCATGATTTATGTTGATTTATTGATTATGTTGTTGCTATTTTTTAACATTTAAATGGGAAAAAAATAGAAAGTGTTATTCATGACTTTTTAAAATATTTTATCATTGAATTGTAATTCCTGCAAAAAGTAAAATTTAAATGGCAATTTATTTGATGTTAGATTCTTTTCCTGGGCCATTTTTACCGGGGCCATTCTTACCGTACAAGGTAATTCAAACTCATAATTAGTTATTTTCATGATCCTTGGGTACCATAATGCTATAATCGGCTGAAAAACGTTCATCATCTTCATCGTCGTCAACAGCATTCTCATCATTATCATTATCAATGAATAAATGTGGGTCGAAATTATACAAATAACGAGCTAAATTTAAAATTATGAAATAATTACAATTGGTATCATTATTTATCATCATGCTCATCGTAGTCATAGTCGTCGTCATTATCTTCACCATCATCATCCTCATCGTCGTCGTCGTCATAATCATCCTCATCATGATCAAAATGTGGATCAAAATTCATTCAGTTACAAATATAAATATCACAATTGGGAATATTACAATGATAAAAATCATCATGATGATCATGATGTAAATCACAGTTGATTGGCAATCCCTAATATTGTGGTATAAAAGCACATTTTTAGACCATACTAAGCTATAAAAACTCTCCCCATGAACACTCCAGGGACTTTTGTTCATGGACCTTGTTAGAGGCTAGTCGGCCCATTGGTTCGGACCCCCTTTCGGAGCCACCCCCATCGGCAAAAATGTTTGAGCCACCACCGAGTAGTTTGTCATGAAATATCTAAACTTATCCCCCGAAGAGAGCAATAGACATGTACATTTTTATTTATTGTTGAACTAAAAGTTTAAAAGAGTGACGTCAATATTTAAAAAAATAATAATCCTGCTCGCAGAAGAGTAGATTTAAAATGTAGGCCTATTCATGACATAAAATAGGTCAAAAGATATTTATACTGATTAACCGACGATAAAAAAAATACTTGAAAAAATAGCTTTTGAAGGAAGTTTACAAAAATCTGTCAAAAACATGTTACCTTGGCACCAAACAACGGGGTACTCATTTAATAACATAAACGACACAATGACTTTAACTCAGGGAGCAGGCAGGAACATAAAAGTAAGCTAAATCACTGTAACTGCAACCTAACTAATGAAAGAACACTTTTGAAAATGTATAAGGCTGTTCACACTTGTGGGGAAAGATATAAATTACAGACAACTATAATTGAGCGCTATTCACGCTTGCGGTTTACAGATATAATTAAATAAAAATATTTAAATTGCTTTGGAAATTACGTATTTTAAAGATTGTTGTGTGAGTACTCTGACACCGGATCAGTAGTTTCCAAATACCTGAAGGAAGTAACGTTTGTCAATACTAACTTATGAATTCAGTGAGGAGGCTATTCAGAATATTAGGCCTGTTGTAACTGAAATCAGTGGCAGATCCAGGAATTTGAAATAGAGGGTCCCACGGAGAAACTTTGACATATGGAGGGTATATAGTCCTACCAACTCAGCCCCACCATGGTTTGGGCTGAGGTAAGGAAATTTACGATTATGTTAGCCTACCTCTAGAAAGCCAGAAATGCCACTCTCAGACTTAAAATTTGAATGTAATTTTGTTTTTCCCTCCATTTTTTTTTTACAATTTTGAGAAATCATCTATTTATGCTGACCATCCGATGATAAGCCTACAAAAACAACAAATGAGCACTAACCAGGCTTGCAGTAAAGAAAATCTCTATACAATTAAAACAAAAACATGCGTGCAAATATTTCAATTGCTTTTGAAATTATGTTTTCATAGACAGCATGTACTCAGAAAGCAATGTCGTTATATATAGAGTACGTAGTCTAAACAACTATTAAAAAAATAGCTTCAAATGATCCGACGCTATTAACTTTACTTGTGAAGAAAGGTAGTCTATTTCTCCAGGGCATAAGTATCTCCATGATTACTCTATTTGTCATCGAATCATGGAGGTACAAATTCCTATTTTAATACCGCCATGTTGAAATATCTTCTCTGTACGTTGGGTACTGTAAATTCAAACTCACAATTTTGGTATTTCATGATCCTTGGGTACCATAATGCTATAATTGGCCGAAAAGCCTCGTCATTATTATCATCATCATCGTAATCGTCGACAACATCATTCTCATCATTATCATTACTGTATCAATAAATACTGTAAATGTGGTTCAAAATTATACAAATAACGAGCCAAATTTAAAAATATGAAATAATTACAATTGGTATCATTACAATTATTTATCATCATGCTAATCGTCACTCATAGTCATATCACATTTGGTATTATTACAACAAAACAAAAAAGAATAACATCCAATTCACATTCACTCTAGCACAATCATTCCATTTATTATAGTTAATTATAATCAGGGACAGATTCAGGGTGAGGCTGGGCCCACGGCCCCCACTTTTGGAAAGTTAAAAAGAAAAAAACAAGAAAAAATTCATCGCCCAAAACACCTCAGAGGTTACTTTGGGGCGTCTAGAAAACAAAAATTTTAACCTCTGAAATTTGGTTTTTGTTTAGCAGTTTCTGAGAAGCGTGTTGAGATGGTTTCTATTTCTGTGTTCCTACACCTCCTACTATTACCAGATACAAGAAATGTAAGATAGAATTTTCCAGATAAAAACTGTATAACGAATTGCACGATTACTGTGTAACATAAGTTTGTCTATCTCCCGACCTATGTGTAAATTGACATCAGTCAGAAAGAGAAGGGGACAGCGTACGACGGGGGATGCGGAAAAGGTATGATGTACAGTACATCCGCTTATGCTATGTGGGAGTTTTATCTTGTGTTTTTAGTATCTATTACAGCAAAAAAAGGATCAGACAGCATTTTAAACAAAGGTGATTCATTTATTTACGAAAATATTTACAAACAATTTGCTCAACCTTTAATGGTTTAAAGAAATTATTATTATTATGGTAGGTCAAAAGTAAGTAAGGTACAGTATGTCAAACCACTGCGAACTATCCTCGACCATGTTGGCTTTAAGCCAATTTATTAATAACTTGTTCACAAATCAAAAACTGTGTATGAGTATTAAACGTACAAAATACAATTGTATGCAAGTTAGTGGGTTTTGTCAGTTTCTCCCCTTCTCTGCATTAGAATTAAGTAATATAAAAATATTTTAAACATAAGTCTACTTAGTGTTTTTGATACATGGATGGCCAGAGTAGCATAATTAACTGATATATGACTGATATATTGACATCAATGCAAATTACAAGTGATGATAAAATGGAATTCATATCTGAATTAATTAATTCTGTTAACACTAATAAATGTGTTACTGCATCCTGGTTAACATATAAACACAAGAAATTACTAGTACATTCATATATGATGTAAAGGCTGAACCTTTATAAAAAAAAATATTAAGTATAGGTCTTTTTGATACATGCACGACCAGAGTAGCATAATTGATTGATATGACTGATTGGCACCAATGTAACTTACAAATGATGATGAAATGGATTCATATCTGAAAATATTCTGTTAACTATAATAATGAGTTTCTGCATCCTGGTTAACATATTAACACAAGAAATCACTAGTACATTCATATATGATGTTAAGGCTGAACTTTATCAAAAAAATATTTTAAATGAAGGTCTTTTTGATACATGCACGGCCAGAGTAGCATAATTGATTGATATGACTGATTGGCACAAATCTAACTTACAAATGATGATGAAATGGATTCATATCTGAAATTATTCTGCTAACATTAATAATGAGTTTCTGCATCCTGGTTAACATATTAACACAAGAAATCACTAGAATATTCATATGATGTTAAGGCTGAAACTTTACCAAAAGAAAAAAAAAAGGATTATATCCACAAAAACAAATATTTTTAATTAATTATTTGACTTATTTTCTCCTAATGCTGTAATCCTTAACTTAATCTTTTTTCTCATAAATTTTGCCTCATAAATTACACGGGGATGTGGGCCGTTACTTGCTTTGTATATCTGAATATACTGCTAAATCAGGTAGCGCTACAAGCATTCAATGTGGTTGAGTAAGTCTTCTCACCACAAGAATAGTATTGTATGTAGGATATGTTACCACAAACTGAACATTATCACTGACAGATGGTTTCATGTTGCAGCATTTAACACAAGTTACCACGATCAGCTCAATCTATTACTGACAGACCATTAACCTTGCACATATACAGTAGACATTCACATGAGTTCCCACGGTAACATTATTACTGACAGACCATTAGTCTCGCTGCTATCGACATCGACATGAGTTCTTGGAAGAGCAGCTTGCAGGCGTATGGAATTAAAATCTGCGATATCTGAAATGTAATCATCGAAAGTATAAATAATAATTGCATTGATTGAGGAATTTGACAACAGTGCTTTCCAGTATGAGGAGTATTAAATTTCAAGTATCACACACATTGTTTATAATATAATAAAAACTTAAATGAAAACATTGGATATCCTGAAAAATTATTATCTCCTATTATCGTAAAAATTAAAAGAGAAGCCCGATGGACTTAATCTCGAGAAGAAGCCCATCTCGAAAAGCCCCCTCTTCAGTTTGCAAAAGTAATCTCGAAAAGAAGCCTTGTGCTTTCAAGCAAGGTAATATTGGCGTTTTTACAAGATAGTTAGTTCTCTTACAGTCATACCGATTTTAACTTTGATTATGATGATAGTGTGTCAGTATCACCATAATCAAAGTTAACATCAGTATAAATGTAAGAACTAGCATTGTACTAGCATGGTTAAAATTTAAAAAAATATTAAACAGAATTTTGAATTTCATGGATGAAAAATGTTGCATAGTAGCAATTCGAAAATTTGTAGTATTCATTTTGAAAAGAAGCTTCAATTCTAAGTTTGCAAAAATAACTTGAAAAGAGACCAATACCAAGATTCTAAAAAAGGAAGACGTCTATGTCTTCTATCAAAGGTTTTATGGAATATTATATATTGTATACTGAACAGTGATAAACTTGTTACAAAGTTACATTTACAAAAATAATACAAAATCAGAAATAAATTAGTATTGAATAATTGTTATTCTTACTTGTGTTTTGTTCTTGCAGCCTTTGCATTCAAATGTGTTGTTTTTAAGGTTAGCGATGGCAATCAGGCCACATAAATTGCACACATGGACACGGTAGGGGTCGGATGCAAAGAACAGACGTTCACGTAAGAAATTAGCAGCACCATGCGCAATCTGACAATCACGCTCCATCTCACCAAAACGCAAGCCACCATCGCTGAAAAAAAGAACAAAAAATTACTATGGCAGTATTGGCAGTGGAAAAAGATCATGTAGGGTGGGGCAAGGGGGTTTGGGAAGATGGAGAATAATAGACCTCTTTTTTTTTGCAAATCATTGTGTTTCATAACTGTGGTCTTTAAATACAACTACAAATAAGCCTAAAAGGCTGCAAGCAATAACATGATAGAGATCTGGATGTTTATATTTTTAACAAAGATAAGGAACCAATAACAGAATAGAGCTCTTGATGTTTATATTTTTCAAAAGGATGAGGAACAATTAACAGAATAGAGCTCTGGATGTTTATATTTTGAAAAATGCTGAGGAATGCAGGTTTATCCTAAATTCCAGATAAAAATCTTAAAACATGAGCCAAAAATATAATGAGGATTCTTGTCATTCTTATTTTCATTACTTTTAATATTTCTCTTTAATATTTAATCTTTTATCTATTGATCAATATCGGGTTAAAATAGTCATAAAATGAATTCATTTCAGGATGATTTTATATAGAAAATGTGTATGGCCTTACCGAGATCGTCCTTCCATGGGCTGCCTGTTGAGAATCTGAACAGGTCCTCGTGCCCTGGCATGAATCTTATCATCCACCATATGTTTCAGACGTTGATAGTAGGTAGGGCCGAGGTAGATCTGAGTACCAAGCTTTCGTCCAGTAAACCCGCAGTGCATAACCTAGCAAAAATAATTAAAACATTTTTTTTAAAATTCTGTACTGCATTTGAATTTATTTGTTACCGTTTGTTATTATATTTTTGATTATATGTTGTATGTTATACTCTTATGAACGCACCATCATCGTGTGCCACTGCTTTAAAAGTGAAGGTTCTAATAAAGATTATTATTACATTATTAAAATTTAGCACTAATTTAATGGTTAATGGCAGGTATTTTGATCTTCTCAACTTTAGGCATCTTATGTCAACAAGTGGTGATGTAAATTTGTGTTTTCAAACCAAGATTTATCCATAATGTGAAATGGGCTTCCAGTACATATTAGGGATGGCTTGTTTATCTACTAGTTCTGTGTAATGTGATTATGATTTATTTATTATATAGTTTATGTTCTGTGTTTGAGGGTTAGATGTTTGAGAGTTATTTTCCACGTAGAACAGTAAACAGGTAAAGCTCATCTTCCTCATAGCTTCTGAATATTTTATACAAAAGGTTTTTGATAATATTTGTATGGCTTATGTTCCATTACAGCTTTTACTTTCCACGTAGGATAGTAAGTTTGTAAAGCTCAACTTCCTTATAGCTTCTGAATATTGTATACAAAAGGTTTTTGATCATATTTGTATGGATTGTGTTCCAGTATTTACACTGTAGCTCATTATACATAACAGCTTTATTTCCCACGTAGAATAGTAAGCTAGTAAAGCTCATCTACCTCATAGCCTCTGAATATTTATAGAAATGTTTTGATCGTTATTGTATGGCTTGTGTTCTAGTATTAACACTGTAGTAATAAACAGCTTTTATTTCCCACATACAACAGTAAGCTAGTAAAGCCTACCTATTAGCTTATAAATATTTATACAAAGGTTATTATAATATTTGTATGGCTTGTCTTTTATTATTTACATTGAAACTCATTATATATAACAGCTTTTATTTCCCATGTAGGACAATAAGCTGGCATGGCACCCCTACCTCATAGCCTCTGAGATGGTATCCATACTCATTCAAGAGGGTGGAGATCTTCTGTACATTGACTGAGTCATTAAAAGGTGTGGCATCGCCAATTTCTCCTTTATTGGCCGACACCTTCCCTTGAAGACACTCAATTAAATGACCGATGGTCATACGACTGGGGATGGCGTGAGGGTTGATGATGATGTCTGGAGTGATACCTTCACATGTAAATGGCATGTCCTGTATTAAAAATATAAATAAAATTGAAATCACATTAACAAAACAAGTATGAGGCATGTTGTGGCAAAATGGCTAAGTTGTAGCAAAAATTGAAATTCAAGTTATTAATATTTTCAGATACCTGAGTATGTAATCTTTAAAATGAGTGGTCATTAATTGAAATTGGACATTTCAGTTATTGTAAAGTGAAAATACAGCACTCTTAGTGTCAAGATAAACATGATTTTGTGAATACATTCTTTAATAGAATTAACAATCAATATAACGTTACATAAACGATTTGTTGACTGTTTCCAGAACTAATACTTTGGGACATGATCAATATAACATAAAACTGTTAATCTATAGTGAAAAACAAGTTTGGATTTTTAGGAAATTTTTTGAGCTCCCATACCTTAGAGCTCATTTACTCAATACTGGCCAGTGCAACAACTTAACCACTGCGCCACGACAGGCCTCATATGCTTGATTTTTACCACGACATGCAGACAGGAGTCCACAAACCACATACATTATTAATTTTTAAGTTTTTTAAGATCTTAATAAATATCATCAAAATTAATATTATATACTATATTATATATGTATGGTTATACTGAACTATTAACAATAATATTTACTTTTATAAGAGTAACATTCAGTAAACTTAAACTTAATGATAAATCGAGAAATACATTCATTAAATTAGGTATGTATTGTTTGTGTAGTTTAGTTGCATACCTCCATTCTATATTTTATTCCGCATGTTCCCTTCTGACCGTGACGACTGGCAAACTTGTCACCGATTTGTGGAACACGTACAGATCGTACCTATCAAACAGAAAAGAACACATATTTCATTCTCTCTTTAGAACTCACATGGTCATTGACAACAATAAGAATGTTGATAAGTGTTAACATTCCTTTATCATTTTTATCCTAAATTCCTTTACTTGTTGAAACATTTTTGTTACTTTTATCTTGTTGCTTTTATTCTTATTGCTTTAAAAAATATAAATGTATTGCATGTTTCTGGAAGAGAGTGCTCATGATGAAATATTCTTATGAGTTTCTTCATGTAGGAACAAATCTACAGTATTGAACTATAACACACCAGGCATATTTGGATAACCAGGAACAAGATGACGCTGGTAAAGATATAGCCACAAACAAAATCTGAAGAAACTTGAGCCAATTGAGACAAGATGTCTGCAGCAGATTGCTACCAGTACCAGCATATAGAAAAACTTTTTGTAATTTTGAATGAAGGTTGATTTCACTACTACTGACCTTGATCTTACAAAACTTGTAACCATCATTGTTGATGCTGATCATGACTTTGTCAATAATACCGGTCTCACTACGTCTCATGAACGTACTAACATCGCGCTTCTGATGACGGCGGACCGAGCTCTCTAGCTGTAAGGAGAGCAAATATATAGTATGGTGGAGAAAAAACCATTATTTGACTGTGCTACAAAACTATATTGCCGCTACATTAAGACAACAAGGATCAATGATAATCTAAAACTCCACCGGATGAAAAAAGTAACTGATTAAAAAAAATATATTAACTACCACAATATTAAATTAGCATGCAATGGCAATAAGTTCTTAGACAAATGTTTTACCAAAATCAGAATAGATCTTACTTCATCATCAACTTCTGGAAGTGTGACTGTTTTTCCAATGAGAACATCATCGCCAGATACTCGCGACCCCGGTGCAATGATGCCGTCATCGTCCAATTTGTCGTACACAGCTGGACGCATCCCTGTACACATAAAAAAGCAACAACATATAGAAGTTAAAAAAAAGGACAATGGAAACATATTTCTCATCATTTAGACGGGGCAAATGGATTTTGCAGACATAGGGTGAATTTACTTCTCTTCTGCATCAAGTTCTTTTACAGGGCTTGGATACATTACAAACAAAAATGAGGCTTACAGCTGTTTGAACCCAATGATAGAAGTCAAGCATTTTAACAACTACACTAAAGCTCCACTAGTAGTTCAGAGATAACAAACCTTGGCAAGTTTCTCTGGAGGGTTTCTCAAAAAGCTCTTCCTGATCTAAGCCTTTCTTCGATTCAGAATCCCGATAGGAACGGTAGAAAACGGACCTAAAGAACACAGACAAGAAAATAAGTTGCAGTTGGAAAGTTAGGCTGTTATTAGGATACTATTTACTAAAGATATTTTGATACATGCTTCTCAAAACAAAGCACTTTAAAACGAATAAGATAATTTTTTTTACTACAATACACGTAGTCATCAAGAACCACCTTACCAGTTACTCTATCAAACAACCTGATCCCCCTTCACAAACAATTACTATTTACACTACCACCCAGGATTAATAATTTAAAAGATGTAGAAACACTTCGAAAAATTGTAGAAAGCACACATAAAAAACATATGAATAGTAATTATGGAAGTTAAAATAAATTCCATCCTTCCTATTATTACTAATAACACCTTATATAATCTTTATGTCTACCAACCTGAAAAATCCCCTGTCAATAGCACCTGCATTCAAGATGACGGAATCTTCCTGGTTGTACCCTGTGTAAGAGGCGATGGCAACGATTGAGTTGATGCCTGCTGGCAACTCACGGAAACGCAGATACTCCATGGAACGTGTGGTGACCAGGGGTTTTTGTGGATAGTACAGCACGTGGGCTAGTGTGTCCATGCGAACATGGAAGTTGGTGATGTAAACTCCCATAGCCTGCTTACCCATAGCAGACTGGTATGTGTTACGGGGAGACTACAGAAGAAAACAAAATTATCTAAATTCCTATCGTAATTTTCACCTCAACACAAGAATCATATAAAACAAATAAATAATGGGAAAATTTCATAATACAGACGAGTCTGCCAAAGTCGACTCTGTTTAAGTCGAAAATTCGCGTCAGTCGAATTTTTAAAAAGTCCCAATTCTTTCCTATGTATTACTGTGTAAATTGTTTGTTTAATTCGAAATTTTATAAGTCGAATTTCGTCTGCATCGACGGAATTTTCCTGTCCGGATAGGCTGATTTAAAGTAATTTCAACCACACAAGTCGAAGTTCCAAATTTAGTAGCGCACGTGGGAAAAAATACACAGCCGTGGGAAAATATGAAGTTCAATCCTTGTTGTACGGCAACAAGTTAGCCATGTCAAACTAACATCTCAGACAGCGCGCTGTGGAACTTGGCTCACATGATCATATGCGTAAGTTGCAGTCTACTCTCACAATACAGACACCGCTCCGGACCGGCTCCAATGTTCAGTTTTTCATCCAGTTTAATTTGTAAAACTTGTACTGAACCCATTTCGAACAAGATTGTTGTAGTCAGGGCCTAGCTTTTTAATTAATTTATAAAAGCCCTGGATTCTTTTGACTGCCTAGCCTAAGCAAATTCAACACATTATTTAATACAGTAATACGTACAGTACCTGTTGTTTTGCTGTACTGCTCAGCAAATTTAATTATTACCAATGAAACTGATGCGACTTTTATATTGTTTTTGCATGCATTTCTTTAGGTCTGATTATGTTTTTCCAAGCACACATTCTTCGTTGGGCAATGCCACTTGCTGGTCGGCAGTCTAGTTGGAAACAGAACAGGTCGCGCCCTCAAAAAATCTTCCTGTCCGGCAATTGGTCCATTTTCGTGGGGTGTTTTGCAGACTAGACATGTGCTTCGGCTGTGATGACATCAGATCGCCCAAAGTTTTATAGTGCGTGACAGTAACAAGCTCGGTGTAATCAAGAACGTTTTAATTAAACAAATTTATAAAACAAAACAAAAAACAAATAAGAAACACTCATGGTATATTTTAGATTCAAATCTAAATAAACTTAACAAATTATATTTTATTCTCTACAAATTTCCTCCGTAATTAAATTATTAACATGTTTTGAAAAGCGTCTTGAGTTTAAAGAATGAATGTGGTGCATTTGAAATTTACACCGACGAATCTAACGAATTTGAATTAGACGTCTACTGAAAAGAATAACCAGTAGAAACTTGCTTTGTTGAGTTCCCTCTTTATTGCAGGTTGATTCCAAATGGTTTTTAAGGATTAAAAGCAAGAATTGGAACATTGGAATGCGTAAATTTCACTTCATAATTAACCAAGAAAACGTCTACTGGTGTGTCGTGTTAATCAACAGATAATCTCCATGGCAATGCGAGTATAGCTAAGCGTCTCGTTTTCACAGCGTCTGGTATGCTTGTCGTTAAACGATGTCTATTAAACTATCGTCTGGTTTTTCGAGTGAGTGTTACCGTCCTAAATTTGACAAATCGTCCGAGATTTGGAATAGGGAGTTCATGTTTTCGAAAAGTATTTTATTAAAAAGAAGAATAGGAATGAGTTTGGGAAAATGTTCGGTTTTGCGTGAAATTCGATTTTGTGGGCATTGAGTACACATAGTATTGTTCTATGTTAATATTTTTTTTTCGAAAATGTGCAAGTCAAAATCTCTATAACTCGAACTTTTTATGCCAGTCCCATTAGATTCGACTTAGGCGAACTCGACTGTACATAAATAACACTACCAAAAGTAACAATAGATAATATCAACTTAATAAGTCAACTCAATGATATATTATGTATTTAACTTGTGTTCAATTTATTATAGAAATGTGTTTTGTTTTCGGATTCTTAATAAATATTTTACTTAACCCTACGGCAGCGCCCTCACCTGGTTGTGATCAGGGAACGGGATGATGGATGCACACACGCCCAGCATCATGGAAGGATGAATTTCGCAATGTGTGTATGTGGAACAGTAACCAAGACCTTTTTCACGTAGATCGTCTGGACTCATTGCAAGCATAATTGTCTCCTCTTCGTTTGTGTCTATGTACTCCACAACTCCACTGGCAACAAGATCTTGCCAACTATACCAGAAAGAAATCACATTATTATTAAACTTTGGCAATGGCGATTGCAACACAACGAGGCATGTATGACACATTATTGTCAATAATTATCCGATCAGACTTCAATCAAAAGTAGATTGTATCAGACGAGTGCTCATACCATATACACAATGTTAAATGTATGATATCATATCAAAAATTAATAATAATATATTAAGACTAGCTATTATTTCCTATGATCCAAACCATCAAGTGCTTTACCTGTAATTATTGTACTCTCTTTCCTTTAGTTGTTCAATGTGCCGTTTCTTTAAAAGTAATTTTTGGTTTTCTACGATCAACAAAGGGCGACATATTCTGCCAGCATCTGTGTAGATTCTAATTTCTCTTTCTCGAATGTCTCGCACCATAGACACCTAGAAAAAAAAGCAGAAATTCATTGCAGTCATCCAAGAAGATTTTTTTCAAATTAAAAACCTTGGAAATAATTTCTCATCTGAAATAACAATATTAATAGTCATAAACAATGACAAATATTCTTAAATGTATTGTTAACAAAAAAAAAAATCTCACATTCTACTACAGTCGAGTCTGCCAAAGTCGAATTTGTTTAAATCAAAAATTCTCGTCAGTCGAATTTTTAAAAAAGTCCCAATTCTTTCCTATATATTACTGTGTAAATTGTTTGTTTAATTCAAATTTTTATAAGTCAAATTTCGGCTATATCGACGGAATTTTCCGGTCTGGATAGGCCGATTTTAAAGTAATTTCAACCACACAAGTCGAAGTTCCAAATTTTGTAGCACACGTGGGAAAATACACAGCCATGGGAAAATACAAAGTTCAATCCTTGTTGTACGACAACAAGTTAGCCAAGTCAAAACTAACATCTCGGACAGCGCAATGTGGAACTTGGCTCACACGATCGTATGTCTTAAGTTGTAGTCTTCTCTCACAATACAGATACCCCTACGGACCGGCTCCAATGTTCAGTTTTTCGTCCAGTTCAGTTTATAGAACTTGTACGCATTTTGAACAAGATTGTTGTAGTCTGGGCCTAGCTATTTAATTAATTTATCAAAGCCCTGGATTCTTTAGACTAGGCCTAGGCCAAGCCAAGCCTACGCAAATTCAACACATTATTTAATAATACGTACAGTACCTGTTGTTTTGCTGTACTGCTCAGCAAATTTAATTATTACCAATAAAATTGATGCAATTTTTATATAGTTTTTGCGTGCATTTCTTTAGGTCTGATTATGTTTTTCCAAGCACACATTCTTCGCTGGGTAATGCTGGTCGGCAGTCTAGTTGTAAACAGAATAGGTCGCACCCCCAAAAACTCTGCCTGCCCGCCAATTGGTCCATTTTCGTGGGATGCTTTGCACTAGACATATGCTTCGGCTGTGATGACGTCAGTTCGCCCAAAGTTTCATAGTGCGCGACAGTAAAAAGTTTGGTGTAATCAAAAATGTTTTGTTAAACAAATTTATAAAAACAAAGCAAAAAACAAATAAGAAACCCTCATGGTATTATCTTAGAGTCAAATCTAAATAAACCTAACAAATTAGATTTTATTCTCTACAAATTTCCTCCGTAATAAATTTAGCAACATATTTTGAATAGCATCTTGGGGTGCATTTGCAATTTACACTGAACTTGCTTTGTCGAGTTCCATCTTTATTTCAGATTGATTCCAAATGTTTTTTAAGGATTAAAAGCAAGAATATACACTAATTAAAACATTGTAATGCGTACCTTAATTTTACTTCATAATTAACCAACAAAACATCTACTGGCGTGTCGTGTTAATCAACAGATAATCTCCATGGCAATGCAAGTACAGCCAAGCGTCTCGTTTTAACAGCGTGTGGTATGCTTGTCGTTAAACTGTGTCTATTTAACTATCGTCTGGTTTTTCAAGTGAGTGTTACCATCCTGAATTGGACAAATCGTCCAAGATTCAGAATAGGGAGTTTATGTTTTTAGGAAAGTATTTTATTAAAAGAAGAATAGGAATGATTTTGGGACTTAAAAAAATGTTCGGTTTTGCGTGAAATTTGATTTTGTGGGCATTGAGTACACATTGTTCGATGTTAATTTTTTTTTTTTTTTAATTTGCAAGTCGAAATCTGTATAACTCGATCTTTTTATGCCAGTCCCATTAGATTCGACTTAGGCGGAGTCGACTGTATTATTTTGTCTATTTCTCACCCACAATCACTACCTTTGAAAATATGACAGTGGCGGATCCAGGAATTCAAAATAGAAAGGCCAGGGGGAGACTTCTAAAAATGGAAGGTCTATACCATTTCAGCTACACCATGGTTGGAGATGAAGTACAAAATTCTGTGGCTATGACAACTCTTTTCTCATTTCTTTGTACAGTATTTTCAACAAATTAGGGGGAACCCCAGAATTGCTGCCCACTGAATCTATGTATGTATGAGACCATACCTCTGAAACAATGATATCCATTTGTCTCCTCAGTTTCCTCAAAGTATTCATCAGCTGATCAGGATCTCGATGGATACCAACCCAGCAACCATTCACAAAGATCTTAGTCGCTCTGTAACAACAAGCATCACATAACACTATCAATAAGACCAGCTATGATGCTAATCATTTTAGGAATTTGAGTTCTTTTAATTTTCATCCTACAACAATGTACAAATTTACTACTGTATTCTGCACACTGCTGCCCTTGTAGAATGGAAACCAAAATACATCAAGAGAATTCTGTCTTCTGACAGGCTGTGATGCAATGAGTAGCCTTATTTAAATCTAATATTTCCTTGATGAAAATATTTTACTGGTTAATGTCTGTCACATGTCACATGTACTGTATGTAAGACACACAGTAATATCAATTTAATTTAACGACAGAGCAATTACTTATATTGAGCATGCAAACAAATTAGCTTTATATCCCAGTTGCTATTATATGTTTTATGCTCATCTGCCTCTGTTTCTATTTATAACTACTGTATAATGTAAGGGTTACATGATGAACTCACTCATTGATAGCAGCAGGTGCTATCTCCTCTAAATTCTCCATGCTCCACTCTTCCAAAAACTCTAAGATAGGGCTAGGTTGTGACCCTACAGAGATGTAGGCCATCAGAGCTAGGTTCTTGACAAGGCCTACGGCATGACCCTTAAAAGAAAAAAAATATGGAATCATTATAGCATAATATATGCTTTTGATTAGTTACCTCTGTTGGAGTATCATAGCATTATCACTCACCTCAGGGGTTTCAGCAGGACATATCATACCCCAATGGGTGTTGTGAAGCTGCCTAGGACGAGCAAGTTTACCATCTCTACCAATAGGTGAGTTAAGACGACGCAAGTGAGATAAGGTAGATACAAATGTCAGTCTGTTCAACACCTAGAAATGAATGATAGTTTGATAAGCATAAAAACATTTAGAAATAGCCAAAAACAAGATATTTAGAAATCAGCATCAGTAGTTAAAACACTCTTAACCAATCAGATTAAGGGAAACCAACTGTTTAAAGCAGTATTTCAATTTGGGTTGCAGTAAAATGAGACTTTCACAATGCAGATATAAAATAATTTTATTTTCATTCGCTAGTCATTAAGCTTGGTTGTAATACTATTCTAAATATGGCTAGACTAGGTCCTATGCCTACAGTGTTTAGGCTAGGCCTAGCATTGTTTGTGATAGTGTGGCCTTGTTGAGCTGACGACAGCATTTGAAGTTTTCGGGCCTGGAACGCCTGCCTTTGCACTTGCCACGTGGGGTGTAGGTCCCCTGCTTTTGCCGACTAGCACCGTGACATGCTAGTAAGAACCCTGGTACCTAATCTCATTTCTATCATGATACGTTTGCTTAATGTCAGAATATACTATATGCACTTTTGTGAACATTTTCGATTTGGAGTGATAAGAATTGGATACTTTACCTGTGACACACCGGCCCTGGCTTGATGAGCTTTCTTCTGATCTCCCCAGTTACCTGTGGCCAACGAGTACTTCAAACCATCTGTTACAATTCTGGTCTTAATAGCCAACTCCATGTTAAAATCCTATGGGTATAATAAATGTTCATTATAATTCACTCATGTTAACTTCAGTTTTTACAGGGTTGTAGCTGTAGAAAACTAAGGGTGAGTGATAGACATTTTAAGGGTGGATGGGTGATAACATTGGTAAACTCTAATAATATGAGTGAATTTTAAGTATGGAAAAGTGAGTTAATAAGGGTGGGCCAAGGGCCATGAACAAAGTCTTGGTGGCCCCGCCCACTACACCCTTGTTCTTAAATTTTATACCTTTCAATCAATGTATTCCACCTGATTATTTTCTTTTACATCTGTACCATATATAATTCTAACATCCCACAAACCTTTCCTTTGTCAATAAACTTCTGTGCATAAATTCTGACTTCCTTCATCAAATTTTTGAAGAGTGCCCGGAACAGGAATGCTAGAAGAGGACCAGCTAAGTCCAACCTCTTGTTACCATAATGATCCCTATCATCACATTCTCGTCTGCCTACCGATGCAAGCAGCAACCTGTGCACACAGTACCTGAAGGAAAAAACCAAAAAAACAAGTAATATAAAGCCCTGTCCAGACTATCAAATTTTATTTAACAATGTGACAAGTCTAAATATGGTTATGATGACATCACATCATATTTTATTTAACAATGTGTCATGTCTAAATATGGTCATGATGACATCACATCATGACCATATATAGGCACATCATGTCTATATATGGGCATACAACAGTTGTTTGTTAAAGAAAATAAGATAATCTGGACAAAATTTTACAAAAGTAAACATTCAGACTGTGGGTATAATCAAAGAGTATAGAACTGCAAGAGGTCTGACTCTTTGGGTTTCACTGAAAAGCAATCTTACCACAAACTAGAGGGCGTCCTTCAAAAGAAAATAAAAGGTGTTTGCATCAAACGTGTGCTGTGTCTATAGAATGCATGTTCGAGTTTCAAACTCTATTTGAATTATAATAGGGCACGCCCTATCTTGTGGCACTACATTTTTGGTTTCATCGCGTGCGTGCATGCAAAATCAAGGCAGGTGCGTCTCTTGCAGTTCTACTCTTTGGTATAATTCCCAGCTTAACTAATAACATCTTTCTTTTCATCTGGTCTTTTCAGAATGACTGACATCCTTACCCAAGGAAGTATGCTTTCTTGGTTTCACAGAACTCGGCTATACCCACATGAGGCAGCATTTCCTTCTGTAGAATTTCTTTGGCATATTTTACTCGTTTGTCTTTAGTTACTCCAGGTCTGGCCCCTCTTGCCCCAATGAAGTTGAGGGCAACATTCTGTTCTTGAATAACAAACGCTTCATCAAGAGAAGGTTTAACCTGTAGGTAGATTAAGATAACAGTTACTAGTCAGTCGGCAATAACAACCAAGTCACAATTAGTCAATATTAGCCTGGTTCTCACGAGAGCCCTAGTATCCGGATCGGGAACTAACCGTTAGGGCTAACCGTCAGCACCTGCGTGAGAACGCCCGATCGGTATACGCTAACGGTTAGCAAGCGCTATCGGTTAGCAAGTTGAGGGCGTTTCTATCATCAACCAATCACACGTACGCGTTTACAATTTCCAGTTTCTTATTGGCCAGTGATTCGATCATCATATTGTTGGTATCCGGATCGGGATTTTCTAGCATGGACGCACGGTAGCTAACGGTTAGCACGATCCGGATCCTGCTAACCGTTAGCTGCTGTGTGAGAACATAGCCAATAAGTCATATTACATAGTTAAAAACAATAGTTGGTTATTTAGCCGGTAGGAAGCCTATTAGTTCACACAGCATTTCCATGATGATTAAAGAGGGTGTATTCTAAGCCTAATCTTACCATCTCCATCATCTCAGGGTCGTCAAAATCATATATAATGTGCTCCAGGATGTCCCTGTCCGACACAAAGCCAAGTGCACGGAACACAATCATGATTGGGATTTCTTGGCGAATGTACGGTAATACTGACACAATCCTCTGACCTATCGCACTCTTACGAGAACCCTGGAAATGAGACAAATCATTTGTATATAATTATTTTGTTTTATGGTCATAATAATTTTTAGTTTTTATTTGGGTCATTTGCTATGAAATAACATCTGCATATATAGAAGCTTATTATGCACTATAAAAAAATGCATATTTATTATAAAATTATTATCAAATTATTATAAAAAAAAATATTTTATCAGTTTTATTATTATTATCAGGAAGTATTTTTATTAAAATATAATGAATGATTTTCTTACCTGTCCTCCCTTAGCCATCATATGAACCCAAAGGGTGCTTGTTGGACGTGAAGAATTTTCTAAACATGATCGAATCTCAGATGTGTAGGCATATTTGCTATCTTTCTTCTTGAATACGTACACAGAATTGGTTGCCATTTTTTCCTGGGCAATGAGTACTTTCTCTGAACCGTTGATAATAAAGTAACCACCAGGGTCAAGGGGACATTCATTCAACTCTGTTAAATCACGATCTGTTAGTCCACTTAACAAACAGTACGTAGATCGCAACATGATTGGAATCATTCCAATATATGTCTTTTGATGTTGTGTTTCTTGTGGTTCTTCCCCTTCTTTGATGACCGTCTTGGTGATGTCAACATAAAGTGGAGCTGAATACCTACAGACACCAAACAAACATTTTATAGATTCAGGGTTCTAAAGTTGGAAGATGATGCCCATTTTTTGTAATTTTGAAATATTTGGGGACCCAGACCACTAATCTGGTTAATGAGCTTTTTAACACATTTAATCTTATTTTGCTGTACATAGTTATACCCATCAGCACTGATTTCCATGAAAAATAAAGCAGCAAAGGCATGCAAAATTATGAATTTACGGAGATGTGTTAATTTTGCGAGAGTATGGGAGGATGACCTGACTCCAGTGAGTTCCGGCGACTTGGGACCCCTGTAAATCCGACAAACTCCTTGGGTAATTGTGGCTTAGCTTTTATAAAAGACACAATACTTGTTTCAAATTATTGTTATTACCTTACAAGTGAAATTGTATTTATGAATGAAAATAGGCTTATGTTTGAATTGGCCATAATAGATGAAATTACTCATCATATAATTTAGAAAGCTTCAGTGCATCTGTTGGCTTCATATGTTTTATTAGGCAATCTAAATATATTTAATATCTTAAGTATGCTGGTGGAAAAATTAATGTTTTATTAAGTTTCTCTTTTAACGCTATGCTTGTGCATGGGTACATTGTTAATGACTTTGTTGAAGTTGTCTTTATTCCGATTGTAAAGAATAAGTTAGGTGACGTCACGTCAACAAATAACTATCGTCCAATTGCATTAGCCTCTGTGTTGTCCAAACTGTTCGAGCTCATAGTGGTCGATTTCTGTAAAGATAATCTTGAAACTGACTATCATCAGCTTGCTTTTAAGCCCAATCACTCCACTGAGACGTGCATTTTTGTTCTTAAACAAATTATTGAATATTATCAATGGCATGGTAGCCCAGTTTATACTTGTTTTTTAGATTCGAGTAAAGCTTTTGACCGTGTGAACCACTGGTCACTTTTTGACAAACTGATTAAGAAAAACGTTCCTTTATTTGTTGTTAGAATCATACGTGAATGGTATGATAAGCAGAGGTTCTCAGTCCGATGGGTCTTAATACCTCCGATGGGTCTTAATACCTCCAAAGTGTTTAAAGTTTCAAATGGAGTGAGGCAAGGTGGAGTCTTGCCTCCTTTCCTATATAATATCTAAAGTATATGAATGACCTTAATATTATTCTTAGTAATATGGATGTGAATATGCTGAAATGAAATTCAATCATTTAAGTTACGCCGATGACATGGTTTTGGTGGCTCCGTCGATGGACGGGTTGCAGCATCTTGTGCAACTATGTGAAATTTATGCCAATGGGCATGATATTATATACAATGACAAGAAATCAGTGTGTATGAGGTTTATCCCTAAAAGTATGAAGTCTTGTAGTACGCCCAAAACATATCTCAATAACAAAAACCTCAAATATTTTTGTATCATATCTTGGTCACATAATATGATGTGACCTCAATGATGAGCTTGATATCAAAAGACAAGTTAGATCACTGAGTATACGTGGAAATGTAATCTGTAGAAAATTTAGCAAGTGCAGTGATTAAGTCAAATGTATATATTTCGTTCTTTCTGTATGAGTTTTTATTGTTCTACGCTCTGGTCTATGTATAGGCTTTCATCTATGAACACACTGAGAGTATGTTATAACATTATTTTAAGAAAACTGTTACGCCAACCAAGATACTGTAGTGCTAATGCACTATTTGTTAATAATAATTTATTATCTTTCCAAGAATTTAGGAGAAAATCAATCTTTAGCTTTTTAAAGCAATTTTCCACTTGTGTGAACCCTTTAGTTCGTTCTGTAAATGGATTTTTTTAGAGTTCTAGGCTCTCAAAAAGATGGAACGAACTTCTTTATGTTAATCCATAATTTCTAAGGATCATGTGGGGTTTATTTTCCCCTTGTATTTATATTATCATTAGTTAAGTTGACAATGTTTAACTATGGATGTAAAGTCTGAAATAAAGAATAATGATGATGATTTAATCATTATAACAATAAATGTTAAAAAAGGGCACATACGTTAAGTTTCTCAGTCGAGCTTGGTTCGGCATCATGGGACTTGGTGCACCATCCTTCTCCCAAAATGTTGGCTTGGAGAGGTAAATCTGTTCAAACTTCAACAGATAACGGTTCTATTCAAATAAAAAGATAAGTTGATAAACTTTCAATATGCTTGGCAATAAGTTCAAAAATAAAAGTAGAAAAAGGCAACTATAAATTTATATTAATGTATGAACAAGTTATTAAAAAACAAAAACAAAAGGTCGATTGACATCACTAGCTACAGTATTCCTGCTCCATTCATGTATACAAACAAGGTAGGAAATTGATATTGTTCAGCTAATGTGCCATATTGCATTAAGATAGCAAGACTTAAGGTTAAGGTTAGAGTCAAGCCAGCTCCACCAATCAAAACTTTAGATTTGTATCAGAGCAATATTCATTTACTTATTTATTATCAATTTGACACAGAATAATAATGACAGGTACATTGAAATACAAAAGCCTGACAGCTTTGAAATGAATTTCTCTCCAAACCAAACATGGCAAAACGAGACGAGGTGGAGTCATGGTAGGAGCGTCTTCATCGTGGCTCTGGGTAAATTCTACCACCACCATTGTCATCATGCCTAGACTAGACCAGTGCAGGTCTTTTCTGGGGCCTGCCTTTACAGTCTTATCTGCAAACGTTGAAGGTTTCTATGGACACGATAAAAAGACTAAGAAAGGTGTCTCTAGAATATGCCAAAGCTTACAGGAACTTCATCTTCTACTGATGTGTGCTGCGATTCAGCTTGCAGTTCAATTGCCGGAGCATCTTCAACAATTCGCTGCACAGACATCTGGATGAATTCATCAAAGGAATCCAACTGCTGTCGTACCAAACCTTTCTCATCAAAATAAGAGCTGATGACAATCCAGCAGGCTTCCTGCCACAGGTCTGGTGTGATTTCATCAGAATCATCTTCTTCATATTCTGGGTTGGAAAAAGGTAGTAAAAAATGCTTAATATAGAAGTAACACTGATTGGCATATTATATTATTAGTATTATTAATTCATGGCCACATTATTTCAATAATGGATAACAAGTGAAGAGTTAGACTAGCCTAGGCTAGGCTGAGCCTAGGAATGTCACCAGTTTTGTTGGCCAACAACCATTTCAGCAGTAGCCTAAGCCTCTCTAGTCTACCTAGGCCTTAGTAGTAGATAGGCTAGGCCTAGCTAGTTCAATCGGGGCCCAAGCCTAGTATTCTATTAGTTAGGTCAGGAGACCGGGAACAGTCCGTTCTGAGAGTACTACTTCAAAAACAAACGATTTAGCAAAATTACCTTCTTCGGGATCATACATATCTAACTAGAGGTGTTCCTTGTTTAATCGGTAAACCGGTAAAGCTGGAAAGTCAGTCTAAAATAGGTTCCAGAAAGAAGATGTAAAGAGATTCAATAAGCAACACTTAATGCTGACTCCAGCGCTAAATGCACTGTCGGTTTTCCCTGGGTATTATTGAGGGCGCAATTTATAAATTCTAGATCCTAACATCCTAACTAGATACTGTGCCATAGTGACCAGACCTAGCATAATTTTGCTTTTTGGCATAATTTAGACCCATTTAGCATCGAACATATGTGCTGGCATGATTTTAGAAAAAAATTAGCATAATTTAGCTTAATTTTGACCTCAGAAGAAAAAGAAAAACTTTAATCTGAATTTAACCAGCGGTCAATAACCGCTAGGCATATAATATTTTGGGTTTTTTTTCTTGGGGGGGGGGGGAGGAGGGGTCCCTTCCTCTTTGTGGTTCATCGATTAATGGAAAGAAGAATATGTATGCGATGTACTTTATATACACACATAATAGGCCTACTAGTATTTACTGTAATAAGAATGAGAAAGTTTACCTGACCGTTTTCAAGAAAACCTTAAAATTTCAAGAATTTAAAGACAGCTCAGAAGTCGGGAAAGCTAATTTCCTGCTACCTAGGGATCGAAATTTTCAACACTTTCCCGGGGGAGGACACCCGGACCCTCTTTCCTCTTTGGGGTCCATCAGTTCATGAAAAGAAGAATACGTATGCAACTCAAATTTTTATGTACATATATACACACATATTTACTGTAATAATACGGTAGTGAGAAAGTTTGGCCGTTTTCAAGAGGGAAAAACCTTGAATTTTAAGAACTTAAAAGCCATTAAAAGACACCTCAGAATTTCCCGCCATCTAGGAATAAAAATTTTCAAAGAGGAGGACCCCCTTTCTTTTTGGAGTTTTTATGAAAAAAATTTGACACCCCCACCCCCAAATGTGAAACCAGGTCCGCCCGTTTTTATAAACTCTATTTTCAAGGTGCTTATTGCATTTGTAGGTTTCACATTTTTGCTTGTTCAAAGCTATGAATAAAACAATGCCAAAAACAAAAAGTTAAGTAGGCATACCGGCCTATCACACTAAACGTTGACTTAGTATAAAATTAGTCAATACTGTGTTCAAATTTTGTTATTATTCTATTACTGTGGCAATAGGCCTATATACTGTAATAAAACTTCATGATAAAACTTTATATGGTTCAAATATCACAATTTCCAAAAAATAAATGATAATCTGAACAAGATAGACATTGTGTTTTAAGACCAAAGGTGCTAAATATATAGTACAATATTTTACTTTTCATAATCTCAAATTATGATACTGTAATGCCTATCTGTGTTTCCCATAACCTCACAATTATAATACTGCAATGCCTGTGTATCACTACAATGCAAACCGTACATGTTCCATATATATCAGCTCCAAAAAAACAACAAAAATGTTTTTCGTTTTACTAATCTTTAATTCATTATTGCCTATTCTATTTAAAGTTTATCGCTTTTGTCGTTGCTGTCTACTTACCTCCCATACCATCCTTTATTTCAGGAAAGTTTTTGATGGGTAGTTATTTGAGCAAGTATTTTTTAAATGTTTGTGTATACAATTGTAATACTAAATAAATCACCCTTCATTGGAAATAGCCTACACAGTATGCCAACAAAGCACACAGATCCGGGTTATAACACTGAATTAAATTCTCACTGAAGAAGTGCTTAACTTAACTTAAGTGCAATTTAATTAATTGCACTTAAGTGCATATACAGTGTATATGTACCTGTAAAACCAAGAAACATTCTATTATTCATGCATGGATTCCATTATTTTGTAGAAATACAACAATTAGTGATTACATATAAATTCTTAGAGATATGATTATGTTCTTAACGTTCAATATTTTACATGATTTTCTATATTACTTAAAGATGATTCAGGGTATATCTGTCTATTATCTTCTTGAAGATTCCTGTCCTGGCGTTTAAAACGCTTAAGATGAAGCCATATCATGTCGCAGTGCAGTATTCGAGAACTAGCGCTGTTCATGTATTAAAAGAGTATATGTATAAATTGCTTGCTTCTAATGGGATTCGAATTCCCATAATGTTCTAAAACTATTGTTTTCTAATTACAGTATTGAAGGAGCAGCCATCATGGATTCCATTAGTTTGTTCCTTAAAGCCAGCCCTACATATGCGGATATAAATGAACTGCACTCAGAACCGCCCAGAACTACAATTAGTAGTTATATTACATATATAAAGATATGTACCTGTATATGCCTAATTATATATTCCTCTTTTTTATGGTTTTCTATAACCGTAAGACGGTTCAGAGTTTATCTGTTTATTATTATCTTCCTGACTCCTGTTTTGTCGTTAAAAACGCCATATCATGTCGCAGGTTGAGTGCAATACGTCGAGAACTATTAGCGTTGCTCCATATGTGAAAGAGTGTGTACAAATCACTTTCACCTAGTGGGATTCGCATTCCCACTAGGTTATTGTAGCAGCAACCATTTTTATTTGAATAAAAGAATGTTTGTAATTAAGTGGATCTGGAGCAAAAAAAGCCAAATACAGTAGCTTTCTTCAAGATTTAATGAAGTTCTATTTATAATGAATATCTTCTAAAACATCAACAACTTTTGGACGATGCATCCAAACATATTTGATAAAGGTAATATAGGTAAAGAGCTTCTGTTAGGTCCACATTTCTAGTGAATCTAAATCTATGAAATGATGATTTAGTTATAATTTTTTTCTCTTGTATAGTGGTATCTCTAACACTCTGATTACCCAGGTTCAATTCCTGGCGAGTTTCACTCATGTGCAATTGAGTTCCTAGTTGATAGTATTGAGCAATTTATCAGCTAATACGGAAAAACTGTATGTTACATATACAGTACATTTTATATTACTTCTGAAATGTAAATTTTTCAAGTTAATACAATGTTGGCACTACTGTATATTTATTTTTATTACTGGAGTAGAAAAAAAAGACAATACAGTACTGTATAACAATACAACTATGCTGGCATATGGAGTATTAGTTTACAAAAGTATGTATTTGTAATTAAAATTACACATTCATTTTAAATATAGTAACCAAAATCATATCAAAACACAAAACCACTTTCACTATTCTAAATTCATATATATTATTTATATTGCTTTTTAATAAAGTACCATACAAAAACCAATTTATACATGAAAGCACATGTACATATTAGTACAGCCACATTCTATTATCAACATAAAAACGAACTAATAAAATAATAGATCACTTACTGATGTCAACAGGTAAAACAGTGTCAGTATTCCATCATGACATCTAATCACCAATTAAAAACACCACAGACATTAAATTATGTTTTTACTTTGAAAATCTATTATTATTATCTAATATTATACGGTTACACTGATTTTTTATGTTCTCATTTTCAACTGAAAGCTAAAACCTTACTTAAACATACAAATTAAGCAGCAATATATAGTACAGCATATATATTTAACACAGCAGGTATATTTAAGAATGGAAGGTGTTTTAAACACTTTCTTTGGATACAAATTTTAAATGTTCATGATATAATAATCCTCATCAATAAATACACTGATAAACTTAAAATTAATTTATTTAAATTGAATTCCATAATTTGTATGTATTTCATACTGTGTATGTATTCATTGACAATATTTTATTGACTTTTTCGAAGCCCTCATTAATTCCTCATGACATTTAAACACAAATTAAATATACAGTATATTTGTAAATGTTATTACCTAATATTATGACTGTTATTTTTTTTGTTCTAATTTCCAATAATTGGAAGCTAAAATCTTCCTTAAGCATAAAGTCAGTAATATAAATAGTATAGTATAAATAGTATAATATAGTATATATTTAAGAGTATATATTTAAGGAGTTCTAAACACTTTCTATAGATACAAGCTTTACATGATCATGACAATCCTCATCAACAATACACAGATGAACTTAAAATAAAATTATTAAAATATAATTATAATTATTATAAATTTATTTAAATTGATTTCAATACATGTCTCCCATTGCAGCCTAAAAGCTATTGTTTCCATTCATATAATTGGCTTTCCCACAACAGTGGATAGCTCCTGTTCTTTTTTGTTTGTGTGTTTTTTTTTTAGGCTTTTCCCGTGGCAGAAGAAAAGCTATTGTTTTTGTTATGTTTTCTTTTATTTCTTCTCTCCTGTTTCTTTATGTTTTTACGAAGAATTTTTTCTACCCTCCACTTAGTTGGATAGACTGAAAATCAATTGAATTTCACAGGGTCAGTTTTTATAGCCCTAAGGTTAGAATGCTCCACATCACACTTACCAGAACCATTCCAGCCCTGGTTTAAGTTTCAGAAGCATCAACTTACTTTGTATGTTCTTATTTACTTCATAATGTTGTTATGATTTTCTTTTATTTTATGATTTTAATAACAGTTCTTATTATTTTGTTTCTCCTGATGCAAATCCAGTTATTGTCTATTATTCCATCACGACAATAACAATTACTATCAGTTCTTATTATGTTAGTGAGGAAACAGAGCAAGCTAGTTTATTCTTCTTTTTCTTCTATTCCATTTTCCCTGTTTTTAGACAGGGTTATTCTACTGTACCCTCCATTTTAAACATTATAATAATCCTCATCAATAAATACACTGATAAACTTAAAATTAATTTATTTAAATTGAATTCCATAATTTGTATGTATTTCATACTGTGTATGTATTCATTGACAATATTTTATTGACTTTTTCGAAGCCCTCATTAATTCCTCATGACATTTAAACACAAATTAAATATACAGTATATTTGTAAATGTTATTACCTAATATTATGACTGTTATTTTTTTTGTTCTAATTTCCAATAATTGGAAGCTAAAATCTTCCTTAAGCATAAAGTCAGTAATATAAATAGTATAGTATAAATAGTATAATATAGTATATATTTAAGAGTATATATTTAAGGAGTTCTAAACACTTTCTATAGATACAAGCTTTACATGATCATGACAATCCTCATCAACAATACACAGATGAACTTAAAATAAAATTATTAAAATATAATTATAATTATTATAAATTTATTTAAATTGATTTCAATACATGTCTCCCATTGCAGCCTAAAAGCTATTGTTTCCATTCATATAATTGGCTTTCCCACAACAGTGGATAGCTCCTGTTCTTTTTTGTTTGTGTGTTTTTTTTTTAGGCTTTTCCCGTGGCAGAAGAAAAGCTATTGTTTTTGTTATGTTTTCTTTTATTTCTTCTCTCCTGTTTCTTTATGTTTTTACAAATAATTTTTTCTAGCCTCTACTTAGTTGGATAGACTGAAAATCAATTGACTTTCACAAGGTCAGGTTTTATAGCCCTACGGTTAGAATGTTCCACATCACAATTGCCAGAACCATTCCAGCCCTGGTTAAGTTTCAGAAGCATCAACTTACTTTGTATGTTTTTATTTACTTCATAATGTTCTTATGATTTTTTGTTTTGTTTTATGATTTTAATAACAGTTCTTATTATGTTAGTGAGGAAACAGAGCAATCTAGTTTATTCTTTCTTCTTTTTCTTCTATTCCATTTTCCCTGTTTTTAGACAGGGTTATTCTACTGTACCCTCCATTTTAAACATCTTCAAACTTGGTACAAGCATTGGTACAAGCAAAGACCATAAAATTTTTAACTACAGATTTTAAATATTGATAAACCAGTAATTAATCTCTTTATATAACACAATTTGCGATTTCTAAAGCATTCAAAACTACTTACAGCTGGGTTCAAAACCAAAATGTAACAATCTTCGACCTCAACCTAACTATAAAATTTATAAGGTACAAAGACTGCAAATCTACTGACCATCATAAGGTCAAACTACATCACCCTCCCCAGTACCATTGCAGCCCTACAGTAGCTTGAGTTGTTTTTTTTCAATTGTTTTTTTTTTACTTCTTAAATATTTTAAATGATTTTTTAACTTTACAATTTCAGTTTTCATTATGTCGAGGAAGAAAAAACTATATGTTCTGTTTTACAGACATACGTAATAAGTCAATGAAATATTTATAAAAATTATCCTTAGAATAATCAGTAAGAACGTTTTTAGTAAAAAAAACCATTTTATATGTGGCATCATGTTTTACACACTTCATGTACTGTATGCTTAGATTTACATTTATACATACAATTTGCTAGACATGTGAAAAACCTCTCTACATAAGACTTTAATATTTATTGTATGAATATCAAATTGGTATTTCTAGTCTCACAAAAAAAAAAAATCATCACATTAAAAAAAATTGCAGTGAACTTAAATCTTTTATCAAGAAAATGCAAACATTCTAAACCATTCATGTAGGCTAGATTCCCAGGAGGGACAGCCCCGCTTCAGAATTCATATATGTAATACCAATCAGTGGCGTATCTAGGGGAGGGCTGGGGGCCCTGTCGCCCCCCCAAAAAATCACGGTCAAGTAGTTAAAAATCACATAAAATCACCATATTCTGCAAATTAGCGCCCCTCAACTGATCATCAAACCCCCCCTCCATTTCACCTTTGCGCCCCCATTTCAAGACTTCTAGATACGACACTGATACCAATGTATTGTAATATGTAAGAACCAGATGCCTGCCAGCTTTAATATTCTAGTAGGTGTGGTCAGCAGGGCCATGAGAAAGAGACCCAAAAATTGAGCCAACATCCACTTGTGAGTTAACCAGTTAAAACCAGTTAAGCCAGGCACTCATTGCGAATGACGGTCGTCGGCCGACGCAATTCCATATAAAACACAATGCCACAACATGCGCGCAACAGATTGTTTTTAACGACATACCATTCAGAATGCTACCGACAATCAGCAGTGATGCATTACCTGACGCTCACATGGAGGGGATTCAGCGGCTGATGGTCCTACGACCGTCGTACGACGCAGGGAGTGCCAAGTTTCAGCCATTGGTATCATAAAAAGGTTACTGCCAGACATTTTCGGTCATGGGGTGTGCCTGCTAGAATTACAGGTACACTGAAATAGAGGTAAACCTGTTAGCAAGCTAATCTGATGATACTCACAAATGTCTACCATACCTATATCATGATTTCCCCCAACCCGAATTTCATAGTCATTCTGACTTTGACAAATATGTTTAGTTTACTTATACAAACTACCGACTAATGCAATAAACTTTGTTGTATTACAACCATAAAATGGTTGTTATTTTAACCACTCAATGCATATCTATATAATATTATATATTACAAGTTTTTACAATTGCAAAAGTGCAATGGTCCCCTAAATATATATCATACCCATTTTTAATGAGGGTGATGAAGCCCAATCATTGTCGAACTTTGCTTTCCATTGGGCCCTCAAGCAAGATACTTTTTTATAACAACATGGGGAATCATCAATGATTGCTTTTACAAGTGGATGTATGCAAAGAAATCACCGGCAAGTCCGATGTAGCAATAGCTTATGCCTTTGCCTATTGCATTAGGTCTACTACTGCTAAACTGCAAAAAAACACAGCCAGATTCCAAATCTGAAAAAGTAGCCCCAAATTCAATTTACTACAGTAATCAAACTAAAACAGCAAAATTTTCCGTCAATACCCTCCCATCCAGCGTTAGCTACAACAAGTGGCGGAAACTGGCTTAGTCGTCGGCAGCCCAACAGGATACTAAGCTACCTTAACTACTACACCATACTACTATCAGCGGTTGCGTTTTGGTCTCTCAACCTGGACATCAGGGGAACATTCACTGTGCATTTTACTTGAGTTCTTGGACAAGGCACTCCACATAGGAGTATAAAAAGGTACCTGGTTCACTACTGGGAAGGAAAAAAGCAGCACAAAATGCCGAGGCATTATGGGCTAACAGCTGATTTGCGATTGTGAATTGCATTTGGGTTAGGTGTCGCAACTGCTACAACCAATTGCAACGTGATGCTAGTCTGAATAGGTTATAAGAGATCTAAAATATCTTCTTGATTGTCAATCAGTTCTTGGCTTCTGCTATTTACTGTGCAAACATTCCCTGGTGGTGGCAATACCGCACAGGTCAGTGTGGCTGTCAGTGTATACTGTATATATTTTTCATTACTGCACAATTCCATTTAAAATGAGTCTTGTTTCAGGGTTCCATTCACAAATTGTTCTCCTGTAAAACAATTTGTAATACTGTAGATTAAAATAATGATTATCAGCATTGTCAACTGTATAATAAAGAAAAAGTAATCATAAGTAACTACTGTACCTCCTTTAGAATTATTCTTCCCATTGGTGAGGAAAAAAACTTGAAATAGGCCCCTCATCGACAGCATACTGAAAAGCTGATGAAGACCTTGAATTGTTTAGAGCATCTTCTGGTAAACTATCTCTATCACTGTCATAACCATCATCATCATCAGTTCTCAGACTACCAATTACAGAATCTAGGTCTGGGCCAACTGACCGGACAGAAGAGTTTGTCTCAATTTTCAAGTCTGTTGAAAGCTTCTGTTGATTAAGGGGATCAGCTGGCAAACTATCAGCATTGCTTTTCAGACTTTCAATTTCTTTTGATTCTGATTCTGACATTAGTCTGTAAAAATAATAATATTTCACTTTAGTAAGAATACAAAATTGTGCATGCATTGTTTTTTTTCTATTTTGTGGTAGAGCCACCACATTTATTCATCAATGCGAAAAAAAAAAACCATAAAAAATATAGTACAAACTCTAAAAATACGGAAAAACAGTCAGGACAATCAAAAGTACATTCTTAACTAACAGCAACCCCACCAAGAACAAAGGTATATATATATATATATATAATGGAATGGTAACAAATAATAATAATTTAATCTTCAAATTTACAATGAACATACATTTACAGTACATTTTTACACAAGATTTTAAGTTTTATTCTTTACATAAATAGGCTGATGATTACCATCATGGATAATATAAACAAAGTACTGAGACTGATATTCCCCTGTAGATTTTTTTTTTAAACATCTTATCTAGAATGGTCTTCCTGATGAATGCAGTTTCAGGTTCGTAAACATGGCCATTTGCAATTTTGGATTGCATATTTTTGACATTTAAAATGCATTTCCAGTAAACAATGATATTAATACACTGTAAACAATTTGAAGTGAATTTAAGACACAGCAAAAAATTGGTTGATTCATTCGAGGTGGAGTACTTCCATGAGCCACAACATGAGCATCATAAAAATGGGAAAAAAATGATGTTGTAATAACGTAATATAACACTTATGATTTAGATCAGTGGTTCACAACCGGTTCCATGGAGAAATAATTAGGGCTCTGCCAAATCAAAGGGGTCCGCAAGGGGTCAGTGAAAAATTTGGGGGTCTGTAAAAAGATTTTTAGACCAATTTTTCATGATTCCATTATTTTTCTTGCCTTACAACAGCGGGATTAACATCTTACTGCTTCATTAAGTGCCTTCATGCAATACAGTATCTTTGACATACACGCTTCGTTCACTGTAAATTGTTTTAACTGGCATTATATTTTAATTCCAGTATTATATTACTAACCTGTGGAATCTTATATATACTCTATTTGTTTTTTATGTGCTTTAGTATAGGTAATGAACATCTTATTTGTATGTTTGTCTTGTATTACTTTTAGCTGGATAATGAATAAATCTAAAATATCAGAAGGGCCCTAAATTTTACAAAATTAAAAATAAATGGGATATAAAAGAAAATTACATTTAAATGTTAAATCTGACAGTACCATTTCCTGCCATCTACAGTAGAAGTGCCATTGACGTACAACAACCACTGATTTATATAAACAAACTAATAATTGTACTTATTTGTTAAAGTGTAAAAGTCAATCCATGGTCTTTATTGGCGTAGACCTACCTGTTTTGTGTATTTTAAGATTACTCGCAAGGCTGTAAGGTACAGGGGCGGGTCCACATATTTATAGTAGGGTGTGCAGAAAGAAGGGAACTCTTGTATAAATAACATAAGTTTTAATGACTTGGGGAAACGTCTTCTGCCTTCTCACCCTCCCATCTTTTGAGAGACTTAAAAGCCAACAATAATATTAACCAGAAAATTATTCTCATAAACAACACCCCCCTCCCCACAACACCGCTCCTAAAAAAGAAAAAAAGCTGCTGACTATTTATCCAACATCTCTACACTTTTTTGCCAGTTACGAAGCACTCTAATATGTCAACAACCATCACCCTCTATGCATCCGCCCAAGAGTATCATTTAAATAATCATTCTTCGAAGTCCAGCGGCCAAATGCTGCAAGTATTGCCATATATAACAGAGTATTCTAAAGCAAAATATTGAATACTGCTATGTATTTAACTATAATTTTAGAAAGATCTTTGCAAATGAAAGTCAAATTACCTTTTGAATATTAAAGAACATGAGCCAATAATAATTATGTTTATAGTATTAAAGCAGGTACGTAGGCCTACTGTATAGAATATGGTAAAAATAGATTAATGGATATAGACATTCCTTATTCGTCATGTACTGACTTATTTTAGTGACTAACATGGTCACTTTATATGAGAGAAAAAAACTACTACTTCTAGCTAGTGACAAATATAGAAACTAATGATAAAAATACAGTAGTAAAATTAGCGCCTCGGACTAGGCTAGGCCTATAAGGAGATATTAATTAATCAAACCACTCCATTATAGAACTGGCTAATGGCCTTGTTTTCGAAGTGTCTCAGATAGTCCTGCATGTGGCGCCTGGCTAGGGCTAGACCCCTATGCCAATTCTAAAGTTTATGATGGACCCGATCTTCTGGTGAATGTTGAGGATAGGCTAGGTTGGCCTAGCTGATCACCCATTTATCTGGCCAAGCCTAGTAGTAGTAGCTAGTAGTAGGCCCTGTGTAGGCCTAGACAAAAAGCTAGGGCTAACGCCCTGATTAAAGCATGTGTCCATGAAACAAATGCATTATGATCAGAACAAAAATGTAGTATAAATATTATTTTCATTTACCCTACCTGCCATGGAGGAAATCACGTTTTTCCCTTTAAAGTTTAGACAAAACTTTGTGTTGAACAAATAAGTCCATCTGTGTGTGTGCTGTGCGTGTGTAGCTTTTTTGTGTTTTGGTTTTGTGTAGAAGCTGTCTCTTATACACATCTAGATGTGTATAAGAGACAGATCCTCTTCACTATCGGAAGCTCACAGAGGACCCCACTCCGGAAATTTCTAAGGAAGTGGAAAAATCTGTATTAAAGATGGTTAAAAAAGGTTCCATCGATCCCAAAATTGGAC